TCCCTCAAGAAGTTAAGCCACGCCAACGTTGTGAAACTCAAGGAAGTGATAAGGGAGAATGACACACTCTACTTCGTCTTTGAATACATGAAGGAAAACCTTTATCAGCTGATGAAGTCAAGGTGAGTGACAGCTGGGGCATGAAGAGGTGTGTAATTGGAAACCGAAACGTTGTTAGCGTGACTGACGCTTGCTTTGAGTTGATAGGAAGCGCGGTGCCACGATTTTCCTTTCGCTTTAAGGAGTTCCGAGTAAGTAATGTTTATAAGGAGATGCTTCACATTTTCAGTAAATTACTAATAAAAGATATTAAAATCCAATTACATTTCTTCTTTTCTGCCAGCAGTTTTGAATTCAGTGTAGAAAAGAAAGGAAAATATATATATTCATATACATATATATATATATATATATATATATATATATATATATATATATATATATATATATATATATATATATATATATATATATATATATATATATATATATATATATATATATATATATATATATATATATATATATATATATATATATATATATATATATATATATATATATATATGTATATATATATATATATATTATATATATATATATATATATATATATATATATATATATATATATATATATATATATATATATATATATATATATATATATATATATATATATATATATATATAGAGAGAGAGAGAAAGAGAGAGATGTATATATATATATTAACATATACATACACACACACACACACACACACACACACACACACACACACACACACACACCACACACACACACACACACACACACACACACACACACACACACGCACACACACACACACATAATATAATATATATTATATATTATATATATATATATATATATATTATATATTATATATATAATATATATATATGTATATATATTATATATGTATTTTTTTTCTTTCTTTTCTACACTGTATTCAAAGCTGTTAGCAGAAAACAGATATGCAACTGAATTTTGATATTTTTTATTAGTCATTTACTGAAGATGTGAAGCATTTCTTTTTTTCACTCGAATAAACGGCCATTACTAGAAAATAAGAATTGTCATTAGATTTCATGGATCTTTATTATTCACATGAAGAGCTTTTAAACAGAATATATAGCTTTTACCAGAAAACAAAATCTGTACAGCGAGAGATGACAAAGCCTTCGTGGTACTTAAAGGTTATGAAAATTACAGCTTCGCCAATCATTTTTAAAGAGTATGGTTTCTGTTTCCAAAACGAAATTAGAGGCTTCAGTATGAATTAATGAATGAATAAATAAATGAATAAAAAAAAAAGAAAAGAAAAAAAAAAAAAAAAAAAAAAAAAAAAAAAAAAAAAATATATATATATATATATATATATATATATATTATATATATATATATATATATATATATATATATATATATAAATGAACGGATGAATAAAATGGAATATATAAAATAAAAAATAACGGTTCGGGGGCTTCACCGACCACCACTGCGCCAGCCTGACTCAAGGTTATCAAGGCAGAAAATATGCTTTTCCACCTTTCTGTCAATCACTATGAGTGTTTTTCTTATCAACGTAACAGATTGAATAAACCATCTAAACCTTTTTAGGAATAACTTTCGCTTTCAGTGACAACTTTACCTAGTGGACCATGAAGAGGAGTTAATCTATGACGTCATCAGCTGGAGCATTACGGTTTGCACTCCAGGGGGCGCAGTCGGGCCAGATGTGGGGTCGATATTGTTTCCCCTCGGAGAAAATTAATGCTTGTGATATGTTACACGCAACCTGCAAGCATTGTTTTATCTCCTAATATCTACTTTTGAGTCATCTCTATTGAAGATTTTAGCCGCGTGTGCACGGGGCTGTGTATCATAGTGGACCCAGAGAGCCTTTCGGTCACGCAAACAAACAGGGACACGCTAGCACACTTACACAAATACATACGTCTTGTGGCTCATTAGCTGGAATAGAGAATTGAATGTTTAACAGTTTTTTATGAAACTTTATTATAAATAGAAACGAACGTAGAACTAAAGTTAATATATTAGAGATAAATAAATGAGGAGAAAATAGATAAAAATGATAAACGAAAATAGATACAACTAATTTATAACCCTTGACAATCAAAACGCAAAGGAAGCACACACATCAAGATGAAAACACATTACGAAACAAACATGACTTAATATATAACATCAACCCAAACCCCAAAATGAACCCATGTTCTTCAACCCGCCATATGAACCCCCTCGTTTCCCCCTGCAGAGAGAAGCACTTCAGCGAATCCATGGTGAAGAACATCGTATGCCAGGTACTTCAGGGCCTCTCCTTCATGCACAAACACGGCTACTTTCACCGTGACATGAAACCCGAAAACCTGCTGTGCATGGGACCCGACGTCGTGAAGATCGCCGACTTCGGCTTGCGAGAGAAATCAGGTCTCGGCCTCCCTACACGGACTAC